GAATGGTCAATAAAGGATGGTAGGCCGAAATTTCACCAAAACTAAGAGTGAGTGGTGCCACGAGCACGGGCACGGTACTAAAATTATGAAAGAGTAAAAAACATTAGTCAGCTGACTTGCCATGTAGACAGAAGCTACCTAGATCTTTACCTAGTAGAGGATTGATATCTAGTGAGAAAATAAAGATAAGAGGAAATATACTGATGATTTAATGATTGGATAAATAAAAGAAGCACCATTTTATAGGTGTTAACCACGATATGCGCATGTTATCTCTCCAATGTTGGACAATATCCTACTTTAGAACTGGACACTTCTAATATTCTATTTCTAACTTTTAACATTCTAACATTGATCAATTATAACGTCCTAGTTGCTGAATGTTTATCTTAAGTTAAATAGAACTAAACTACAATGGGGAATATGTAGATGTAAATATCAAATCTTAAACCTGACCTTTCTTGTGTTATCCTAAGTCTTTGCGTCTGCTAATTGAGTTCCAAAAAAGTACAAAAATATTTGATTGGTAAAATCAAATATTTGTTCTGCAACACTTTTTGGTGAAGAAATTTTCTACTGTTTAAATGATCTTGAAAGAAGCAGGTGTTGTTTCCTTTTTTGTATTATACTTGATTATGTCTATGGTATATGTCCATTACATTCTCATGTAGTTTTTTCCTCTTGTTACAGGATTAACAGAATCTCTGTTTCTACCACACAAAGACATATACATTGAGTATGAGCAGGCCTCTCTTAGACAACTTTACAAAGCTAAGGTTGGGACAGTCTGTCTCGTAGTGATCTATCATCTTACCTCAGGATATATCTCTATCTAGTCCTCTCTTTCCTTTTTGCCTTTTTTTCATCCTCTAAGTCGTAGAAGAAAAATTTAAGAAGAGACTTTTACACCATAAAGGTAAATAACTACTGAAATAACACTCTAAATATTAACATGTTTTTATTTGGTTGTGAGGGTAAATTAAAATAAACTGGAGATTGAAGCACCGTAAAGAGAAAGAGAACAGATTTATTGACTGGCAACTTGCTGTGTTAGCTGGTTCTGTGAAATCTTGAAATTATTTCCTTGCAGAGCCCAAATAAGCATCAATAGGATGACTTTGGGTGGATTATAACCTAATCTATTTACATGAAGTACAGTAGTTTAGCTGACTCACTTATGTTTTTCTGGAAACCATGAAACAATCTTGAACTTCTAGAGGTACAACCTTAGCAAAAAAAGATCGTTATTGGTGGCATGAACTTGCAGCAAGCTGTTTAACTCAGTGTTTATGGAAGCTTTCCACCTTTAACATATCATGTTGATACGTACTCATGAACTAGTGTAAACACACTTTGGTTACACTTTGCAGATGGAGGAGCTGCGCACCCAAGGCCAGCAATCCTCTGTCATCTGGAACAATTGGACGCTCAAAAGGTGCTTCAATGGCATCCTCTCACCAGCAAATCTCTGTCACTGTGGTGACAGAGTTTGTGCGTTGGAATGAAGAAGCAGTATCCAGATGCACTTTGTTTTCATCACAGGTATATGTGACACATGTTTCAAGATGTTGCACGAGCTACAACTTACTCTTTCTTGGAATGCAAATACCTTCAAGATGGCGGGGAACAGCTTCTTGATTTAAAAAATTAGCTTAGTGGAAGATCCAAAAATTATATATTGCATCGTGCCTGAACGCTCAAGTGAATTTACAAATTTCATATGTAGCCTTTTCGGTTTGATGGACTCGCTCTAATAAATTTTGATAGTGAGAGAAGGGTTCGAGAGTGGATGCCTGTGATTATTTCATTTTATTCAGAGAGATAGAGAGAGGGAGGGAGGGAGAGAGAGATGGAGTCTTTCTTGTCCTCATGATGCTTTTTACTTTTTAGAGAAATTTGCTGTAGAAGTGGGAAGAGGTACCAGATACTTGGAAACAATGTAACTGTACTAGTTGCCTTCTTTATAGAAAAACTGAATCAAGGATAGAATTTAGTTGTTTCTTTTTTTTTGTTTGTTTCTTGCACTTATTGTTGCAAGGATTTCATTCTGGCTTATCCATATATTTCGGCAAACTGTGATGTAGAAAAGATTGGCATGCTAACTTCATCTGTATTATTCTGAACTTCACTGATTTCTATGTGCATGTAGCTTTGTCTTCCGTTAGAACAAACTAAATTATTTAGCGAACAGAGGCAATTCTTCCTGAAAATGTGTATGCTAGTTATCCACAGCAAAAATTAGAAAGTTGATGCTTATTTTTAATGTCCTTTTGAAGATGTCATGTTCTTTGTCTGCAAAAGGCAATGTGGACGTTCTTCTGACAAGTTTATTGGTCATGTTAGAGGAGTAAAGTAATCAAATATTTTGTTGTCCGTTTCCTGTAGACTTGTGCAAAGGTCTTCAAACAGCACCTTGTCCTAAGAGATTGATATTGATCTAACTTGATTCATTTCAGACCTTACAGGATTGAACTAATTGATTGTTGGTCTGTTTGTAAAGTCTGCTGCAAATGTAAGAGCTGTTTTTACATGCCTTCTAGATCAAGTAAGTTCATTACCTTTCTATTTTGAAGTTTGTTTCTGCTCGCAGTATTTACATTACTTTCATCTGGCATGCGGAGTATGTAACTTAATGAATTATATTTGGGAAAGGTAAAAATTGTAATTCAATATAAGTTTTCTGGGAGATTGGGTGTATTTCCATTTTTTGTGTGGTATCATTACTCAAACTTTTTCAGGTTAGTATATACATAACTGAAGGTCTTGAAAGAGCCAGAGACAGCCTTACCGAGGCTGCTGCTTTAAGGGAAAGATTTGTGCTTGGAACTAGCGTTAGTCGAAGGGTAGCTGCTGCAGCCGCTTCTGCTGTAATTACTTTGGCATTTCTGTTTACTACTATCTGAAGTTCATGTAAAATTTCATTGTAGATGATTATACTTTCATAGATTTGGCTTATTTAAGTATATCATTTGTGGTATTTAGGCAGAAGCAGCAGCTGCGGCTGGTGAAAGCAGTTTCAGATCTTTCATGGTTGCTGTGCAACGTTGTGGGAGCAGTGTGGCTATTGTGCAGCAAGTATGTTGGTTTGATGCTAGTGGACTTGTGAAAATCCTTGTTTGATTAGAGAAATAACACAATTTTGTGTTGTCTCTTGTAATGTTCATTTTGAACTTCTTTTCTTCACACTACTAGAATTCCGAAAAAAAGCGACCAACGTTGGTCGCTTATTGGCCAAAAAGCGACCAAAAAGCGACAAACCACGCCTGGTCGATATTAAACTGGTCCCTTTACCTTAGGGACCAAAGTTGGTCGCTAAATAGCGACCAACGTTGGTCTCCCAGGTAAAAGGACCAAATTTTCCGGGCAAAGCATATAGCGACCAACTTTGGTCGCTCAAATATTTTAATATTATATATTTGGCGACCAAAGTTGGTCTCCAGATGTAAATAACGTTTTATTTTTATTTATTTTTAATCATATTAAGCGACCAACTTTGGTCGCTATATTAATAAATGTTATAATTTTTTGTTTAATGGGCGACCAATATTGGTCGCCAATGGCAAGAATTAATTTTTTTTTTAACTATAAGCGACTAACCTTGGTCGCAAAATTACCAGATTTTTTTTTAAGTGAATAGCGACCAACTGGACACCAAGTTGGTCGCTTTTTTGGTATATTTTTGGCAGAAACTGCCTGTTTTGGCTACTACACCACCTGCCAGCTTATACCAAATATCCTAAACAGGCATTTTATGCCAGCAACAACAACAACAACAACAACACTAAAACGCAACAAAATATAAAGATCAATAGAACTAAAACATTAAGCTAACAAAACTAAGTTAACGTTTATTACAAGCTCATTCGCAAACTAGTTCTATTGTCTAGTTCAAAGTATATAAAGTACTCAAGGAGTGTTCTTTTAGCACCCTCGTTCGAAAGTTGGATTGCCTCGGCCGACTCGTTAGGTGGCTGACTTCGTATGAATTCCCCCACATCAGCTGTGAAGCGAACCTATAAGAAAAATTATATTGAATTAATATTTCAAAATTTATATAAAAGTAAATCAAAATACTTAATGATAAGTAAAAAACTTACATGTATAGTCGAGGCTCGACCCTCGACCCACCTTTCTGAATCAGTCTCTTTCTTCTTCTTTACAATACGAGTTTCATTGAATAGCTCATCTTGCTTCATTGGCATCAGAAAGCTGCCCGGTGGCTTTGGTGATTATCCTCATGGTACTATTACTCGGGATGAACTTGGATACAGAGAATAACTTGGATACAGTAGCTGACAGGGTGTGTCTTTTGATCAATTGTTGTTCTCGTTAGCGATAATGATGTTGAGACTGCAATGACATGTGTTTCAACTAGAGATGGTATAGGCAGGAATTTTAACATTTCCTAAGTAGATAAAAGAAAGATTATAGAGGAATTCTCTACTTCATTTTCCAAGGAGAAAAGAAGTTTAATTGAGAGTGACAAGGGTGATGGTGATGGAATGTTTTCCGTTGGTCATGGCAGTTCCCATAAAACGGGGATCATAAGACTCTATGATGACAAAGATTATAGGAAGTTTTGTTCTCAACTTTCTTCCAAGTCTGATCCGTACAAGCTTAATGGGATATTGGTGATGTAATCTTCTGAATCCGAAGAATATATCACCAATATCCCACTAAGCTTGTACGGATCAGACTTGGAAGAAAGTTAAGAACAAAACTTCCTATAATCTCTGTCATCATAGAGTCTTATGATCCCCATTTTATGGGAACTGCCATGACCAACGGAAAACATTCCATCACCATCAACCTTGTCACTCCCAATTAAACTCCTTTTCCTCTTGGAAATTGAAGTATAGAATTCCTCTATTACCTCTTCTTTTATCTACTTAGGAAATGTTAAACTCCTACCTACACCATAACTATTTGAAACACATGTTCTTGCCTTCTCATCATCGTTGTCGCTAATGAGAAGAACAATTAAAGGCACACTCTGCCAGGTACTGTGTCTTAGTTATTCTTGGTGGAAGTTCCATTGCATGTCTAATATTACCATCAACCCCTTCTACAAAATCCTCCCGCAATCTAAAATTCCAATACATAAACCAAAATTTTAATCATNATGACAAAAAACTGAAGTCTTGGACAATCCCTCACTTGTTCTTTTTCTCCTTTTTAATAATTTTTTCCTTTCATTCCAAGTATTATCTGTTTTCTCTAGCTATTGATAGTTGAAAAATAAAGAAAAGTGAAAAGATATATTGATGAGTCGATGTTATGGAAAATACAAAATACACCTTTTATAGGTGTCTATCATGACAATACACATATAAATTCGACTAATGCTAGGAAATATCTTATGTAAGAACTTGACACTTCTAATTTTCTAATTCTAACATCTGACATGTCCCTTTGAAATTAAAGTGGGAAAAACAATTAGTTTGCTTATTATTGAAGTATAAAGTACATAATCAACGATATGGTTGCCAGAGATCTTGCTGGACAATTGTCGGAAAAAGTTATGATTATTGGAATCTTAGTGGAAAAGGTTTAGTCGTCGGGATCTTGTCGAAAAATTTATGCTAGAACTATGGTACTGCCAAATGATCATCAAAAAGGAGGCACAATGATCTGAAATGGTCACCACAAGGGAAATACAGTACTACCAGTAGAACAGTTGCCGGCAAAAGGCACTGTGCTGCCGAAGCGATAATCAGAGAGGGCACGTACTGCAGGAATGGTCAATAAAGGATAGTAGGCCGAATGTCACCAAAACTAAGAGTGAGTGGTGCCACGAGCACGGGCACGGTACTAAAATTATGAAAGAGTAAAAAACATTAGTCAGCTGACTTGCCATGTAGACAGAAGCTACCTAGATCTTTACCTAGTAGAGGATTGATATCTAGTGAGAAAATAAAGATAAGAGGAAATATACTGATGATTTAATGATTGGATAAATAAAAGAAGCACCATTTTATAGGTGTTAACCACAATATGCGCATGTTATCTCTCCAATGTTGGACAGTATCCTACTTTAGAACTGGACACTTCTAATATTCTATTTCTAACTTTTAACATTCTAACATGGATCAATTATAATGTCCTAGTTGCTGAATGTTTATCTTAAGTTAAATAGAACTAAACTACAACGGGGAATATGTAGATGTAAATATCAAATCTTAAACCTGACCTTTCTTGTGTTATCCTAAGTCTTTGCGTCTGCTTGAGTTCCAAAAAAGTACAGAAATATTTGTTCTGCAACACTTTTTGGTGAAGAAATTTTCTACTGTTTAAATGGTCTTGAAAGAAGCAGGTGCTGTTTCCTTTTTTGTATTATACTTGATTATGACTATGGTATATGTCCATTACATTCTCATGTAGTTTTTTCCTCTTGTTACAGGATTAACAGAATCTCTGTTTCTACCACACAAAGACATATACATCGAGTATGAGCAGGCCTCTCTTAGACAACTTTACAAAGCTAAGGTTGGGACAGTCTGTCTCGTTGTGGTCTATCATTTTACCTCAGGATATATCTCTATCTAGTCCTCTCTTTCCTTTTTGCCTTTTTTTCATCCTCTAAGTCGCAGAAGAAAAATTTAAGAAGAGACTTTTACACCATAGAGGTAAATAACTACTGAAATAACACTCTAAATATTAACATGTTTTTATTTGGTTGTGAGGATAAATTAAAATAAACTGGAGATTGAAGCACTGTAAAGAGAAAGAGAACAGATTTATTGACTGGCAACTTGCTGTGTTAGCTGGTTCTGTGAAATCTTGAAATTATTTCCTTGCAGAGCCCAAATAAGCTGCAATAGGATGACTTTGGGTGGATTTTAACCTAGTCTATTTACATGAAGTACAGTAGTTTAGCTGACTCACTTATGTTTTTCTGGAAACCATGAAACAATCTTGAACTTCTAGAGGTACAACCTTAGCAGAAAAAGATCGTTATTGGTGGCATGAACTTGCAGCTAGCTGTTTAACTCAGTGTTTATGGAAGCTTTCCACCTTTAACATATCATGTTGACACGTACTGATGAACTAGCATAAACACACTTTGGTTACACTTTGCAGATGGAGGAGCTGCGCACCGAAGGCCAGCAATCCTCTGAGTCATCTGGAACAATTGGACGCTCAAAAGGTGCTTCAATGGCATCCTCTCACCAGCAAATCTCTGTCACTGTGGTGACAGAGTTTGTGCGTTGGAATGAAGAAGCAGTATCCAGATGCACTTTGTTTTCATCACAGGTATATGTGACACATGTTTCAAGATGTTGCACGAGCTACAACTTACTCTTTCTTGGAATGCAAATACCTTCAAGATGGCGGGGAACAGCTTCTTGATTTAAAAAATTAGCTTAGTGGAAGATCCAAAAAATATATATTGCATTGTGCCTGAACGCTCAAGTGAATTTACAAATTTCATATGTAGCCTTTTCGGTTTGACGGACTCACTCTAATAAATCTTGACAGTGAGAGAAGGGTTCGATAGTGGATGCCAGTGATTATTTCATTTTATTCAGAGAGATAGAGAGAGGGAGGGAGGAAGAGAGAGATGGAGTCTTTCTTGTCCTCATGATGCTTTTTACTTTTTAGAGAAATTTGCTGTAGAAGTGGGAAGAGATACCAGATACTTGGAAACAATGTAACTGTACTAGTTGCCGTCTTTATAGAAAAACTGAATCAAGGATAGAATTTAGTTGTTTCTTTTTTTTGTTTGTTTCTTGCACTTATTGTTGCAGGGATTTCATTCTGGCTTATCCATATATTTCGGCAAACTGTGATGTAAAAAAGATTGGCATGCTAACTTCATCTGTATTATTCTGAACTTCATTGATTTCTTTGTGCATGTAGCTTTGTCTTCCGTTAGAACAAACTAAATTATTTAGCGAGCAGAGGCAATTCTTCCTGAAAATGTGTATGCTAGTTATCCACAGCAAAAATTAGAAAGTTGATGCTTATTTTTAATGTCCTTTTGAAGATGTCATGTTCTTTGTCTGCAAAAGGCAATGTGGACGTTCTTCTGACAAGTTTATTGGTCATGTTAGAGGAGTAAAGTAATCAAATATTTTGTTGTCCGTTTCCTGTAGACTTGTGCAAAGGTCTTCAAACAGCACCTTGTCCTAAGAGATTGATATTGATCTAACTTGATTNATTAACACTACTAGAATTCCGGAAAAAGCGACCAGCAAAAGCGACCAACGTTGGTCGCTTATTGGCCAAAAAGCGACCAAAAAGCGACCAACCACGCCTGGTCGATATTAAGCTGGTCCCTTTACCTTAGGGACCAAAGTTGGTCGCTAAATAGCGACCATCGTTGGTCTCCCAAGTAAAAGGACCAAATTTTCCGGGCAAAGCATATAGCGACCAACTTTGGTCGCTCAAATATTTTAATATTATATATTTGGCGACCAAAGTTGGTCTCCAGATGTAAATAACATTTTATTTTTATTTATTTTTAATCATATTAAGCGACCAACTTTGGTCGCTATATTAATAAATGTTATAATTTTTTATTTATTGAGCGACCAATATTGGTCGCCAATGGCAAGAATTAATTTTTTTTAACATAAGCGACCAACCTTGGTCGCAAAATTACCAGAAAATTATTTTTTTTAAGTGAATAGCGACCAACTGGACACCAAAGTTGGTCACTTTTTTGGTATATTTTTGGCAAAAACTGCCTGTTTTGGCTGCTACACCACCTGCCAGCTTATACCAAATACCCTAAACAGGCATTTTATGCCAGCAACAACAACAACAACACTAAAACGCAACAAAACATAAAGATCAATAGAACTAAAACATTAAGCTAACAAAACTAAGTTAACGTTTATTACAAGCTCATTCGAAAACTAGTTCTATTGTCTAGTTCAAAGTATATAAAGTACTCAAGGAGTGTTCTTTTAGCATCCTCGTTCGAAAGTTGGATTGCCTCGGCCGACTCGTTAGGTGGCTGACTTCGTATGAATTCCCCCACATCAGCTCTGAAGCGAACCTATAAGAAAAATTATATTGAATTAATATTTCAAAATTTATATAAAAGTAAATCAAAATACTTAATGATAAGTAAAACTTACATGTATAGTCGAGGCTCGACCCTCGACCCACCTTTCTGAATCAGTCTCTTTCTTCTTCTTTACTATACGAGTTTCATTGAATAGCTCATCTTGCTTCATTGGCATCATAAAGCTGTCCGGTGGCTTTGGTGATTATCCTCATGATACTATTACTCGGGATGAACTTGGATACAGAGAATAACTTGGATACAGTAGCTGACAGGGTGTGTCTTTTGATCAATTGTTGTTCTCATTAGCGACAATGATGTTGAGACTGCAATGACATGTGTTTCAACTAGAGATGGTATAGGCAGGAATTTTAACATTTCCTAAGTAGATAAAAGAAAGATTATAGAGGAATTCTCTACTTCATTTTCCAAGAAAAAAAGAAGTTTAATTGAGAGTGACAAGGGTGATGGTGATGGAATATTTTCCATTGGTCATGGCAGTTCCCATAAAACGGGGATCATAAGACTCTATGATGACAGAGATCATAGGAAGTTTTGTTCTCAACTTTCTTCCAAGTCTGATCCGTACAAGCTTAATGGGATATTGGTGATATATTCTTCTGAAGAAAGTTGTACGGATATATCAGAAGAATATATCACTAATATCTCATTAAGCTTGTACGGATCAGACTTGGAAGAAAGTTGAGAACAAAACTTCCTATGATCTCTGTCATCATAGAGTCTTATGATCCCCGTTTTATGGGAACTGCCATGACCAACGGAAAACATTCCATCACCATCAACCTTGTCACTCCCAATTAAACTCCTTTTTCTCTTGGAAATTGAAGTATAGAATTCCTCTATTACCTCTTCTTTTATCTACTTAGGAAATGTTAAACTCCTACCTACACCATAACTATTTGAAACACATGTTCTTGCCTTCTCATCATCGTTGTCGCTAATGAGAAGAACAATTAAAGGCACACTCTGCCAGGTACTGTGTCTTAGTTATTCTTGGTGGAAATTCCATTGCATGTCTAATATTACCATCAACCCCTTCTACAAAATCCTCCCGCAATCTAAAACTCCAATACATAAACCAAAATTTTAATTCATATCTAAAGGTTCAACTCATATCCAAAAAAAATTCAATTTATAATCTAAAATTCCAATTCATAAACAAAAATTCCAATTTATATCCTAAAGGTTCAAGTCATATCCTAAATGTTCTAGTCATATCCTAAAATTTCAAGTCATATCCTAAAAGTTCATATCCTAAAGGTTCAACTCATATCCACAAAAGTTCAAGTCATATCCTGAAATTTTAATTTATAATCTAAACTTCCAATACATAAACCAAAATTTCAATTCANCTTTCTTCCAAGTCTGATCCGTACAAGCTTAATGGGATATTGGTGATATATTCTTCTGAATCCGAAGAATATATCACCAATATCCCACTAAGCTTGTACGGATCAGACTTGGAAGAAAGTTAAGAACAAAACTTCCTATAATCTCTGTCATCATAGAGTCTTATGATCCCCGTTTTATGGGAACTGCCATGACCAACGGAAAACATTCCATCACCATCAACCTTGTCACTCCCAATTAAACTCCTTTTTCTCTTGGAAATTGAAGTATAGAATTCCTCTATTACCTCTTCTTTTATCTACTTAGGAAATGTTAAACTCCTACCTACACCATAACTATTTGAAACACATGTTCTTGCCTTCTCATCATCGTTGTCGCTAATGAGAAGAACAATTAAAGGCACACTCTGCCAGGTACTGTGTCTTAGTTATTCTTGGTGGAAGTTCCATTGCATGTCTAATATTACCATCAACCCCTTCTACAAAATCCTCCCGCAATCTAAAATTCCAATACATAAACCAAAATTTTAATTCATATCCTAAAGATTCAACTCATATCCAAAAAAAATTCAATTTATAATCTAAAATTCCAATTCATAAACAAAAATTCCAATTCATATCCTAAAGGTTCAAGTCATATCCACAAAAGTTCAAGTCATATCCTAAAATTTCAATTTATAAACTAAAATTCCAATACATAAACCAAAATCTCAATTTATAAACTAAAAGTCCAATTCATATCCTAAAGGTTCAACTCATATCCACAAAAGTTCAAGTCATATCCTGAAATTTCAATTTATAATCTAAAATTCCAATACATAAACTAAAATTTCAATTCATATCCTAAAGGTTCAACCCATATCCACAAAAGTTCAAGTCATATCCTAAAATTTTAATTTATAAACTAAAATTCCAATACATAAACCAAAATCTCAATTCATAAACTAAAAGTCCAATTCATATCCTAAAGGTTCAACTCATATCCACAAAAGTTCAAGTCATATCCTGAAATTTCAATTTATAATCTAAAATTCCAATACATAAACCAAAATCTCAATTCATAAACTAAAAGTCCAATTCATATCCTAAAGGTTCAACTCATATCCACAAAAGTTCAAGTCATATCCTAAAATTTTAATTTATAAACTAAAATTCCAATACATAAACCAAAATCTCAATTCATAAACTAAAAGTCCAATTCATATCCTAAAGGTTCAACTCATATCCACAAAAGTTCAAGTCATATCCTGAAATTTCAATTTATAAACTAAAATTCCAATACATAAACCAAAATCTCAATTCATAAACTAAAAGTCCAATTCATATCCTAAAGGTTCAACTCATATCCACAAAAGTTCAAGTCATATCCTAAAATTTTAATTTATAAACTAATAAATTCCAATACATAAACCAAAATCTCAATTCATAAACTAAAAGTCCAATTCATATCCTAAAGGTTCAACTCATATCCATAAAAGTTTAAGTCATATCCTAAAATTTCAATTCATAAACAATCAGTATAGTATGAATAGTTTTATACTATTACCATGCTGACCAATCTAGATAAATCTTCTAATTGTTCTTTGTGAAAATTAGGTTTTTCCGAAATGAGGATATGAGTAAGCCAAGATACTTCAATCTAAGCTTAAGTATGTAGTTATATATGTGTAATATGCCCAATAATGTAATGGGTTAAGTGTTTTATTTATAAATATAAGGGGTGTATTCTCAAATTAATAACTCCTAACTTCCAAAGATAAATTTATTAATTATCTATCATTTAACTAAGTAGAAAAGTTCTATTTAGGAAAATCTACATGAGTCAAACAATGAAATAAAATAAATATTAAGATAATCAGATCTAGATTCTATTCCTCACAAGAACTAAATTTTAATTTGACCCAGCCATAACAAGACTTAACATAAACCCTAAAAATTTAGGGTTTCTTCTCTTCAACCAATTTTTTCCCAAATTAGTAGGTAAAACTAATTATTTTAGCTACTAATAATTATCCTAGATTTAATTTTGCTAAGAACAATTAATTTTTACAAATCAAACTACAAAGAATTAAAATAAATCTGTGTATTTCGAAAAAAATAAGGAAAGGAGAGAGAAACCTACCTGGACAGTGGAGGACACCGACGGTGGAGCTGCTGCTGCCTCCGGCGGGTGGAGGGTGGAGGGGGACGGCGGCGTCGATGGAGGGAGACGGAAGGGGATGGGGGTTTGGGTGTGAGAGAGAGAAGAGAGAGAAAAAATGTGACGACCCAAAGGGTCATCACCTGTTTCCTCATCCGTTCCGTGCTTCCGAGGCCTTGAAAACCTCATTCTTACTTGCCTCGATTTGCGTGCGCAGTCCGGGCGCATAGTCGGAAAGCTGTTATGTTGAAATATGTGAATTCTGTGAAAAATTTGAAGAATTTTGATATTAATATGTTTAAGGTTGACTTCGGTCAACATTTTTAGTAAACGGACCCGGACCCGAGATTGGACGGTCCCGGAAGGTCCGTAGAAAAATATGGGACTCGGGCATGTGCCCGGAGTCGTATTCCGAGGTCTAGAGCCCGAGAAAGGAATTTTTCTGTGAAATTGTTTTCTGAAATTATNTAATACGCATCTACTTTCTGTAATTATCCATTTATAAGCTAATCAATCGCTAACATTTCTTACTGATATATTTCTAATACACTTCTACTGAGTGTGAGAACTAAGAATACTACTAGTACACTTCTACTATATATATATATAT